AGAAGCTGCTGGAGCTTTACGCCCTGCATCAGATTGACCAGCTGGCCAAGTGCACCTCTGATTCCTCCTTCTCCCGCAAGACCAACGAGATCAGCGAGCTCATCTACAGCATCGCTCAGGACTACAACCTGGAGGAGCAAGAGGCCGAGTGCAAGCTGGTGCACGGGGTCATCCGCATCAGCACGCGGAAGGGCAAAAGGAACAAGGGCTACCTGTCGACCGGGCAGCATCATAACAGCAGGAGGGACGGGACCCTCCCCGACAGTGGCAACGAGACCATGACAAACCCCTTCATGAGCAGTGATTGTAAGAATCTTTTCTTTTCTTTTCTTTTTTTCTTGCTAGAGCTGTGTAAATATTTATAATGCACAAGACAACCTTGCTCACCAGCACCTTGCAGCAACATACCAAATATACCAATCATCTGACCCATCTTTTCTTAATGACTCATAGAGTCTGTTGGAACACCGGCTGAAGCTCTTTTGTTTGCCTCGTAGCTGCGAGCTCTAAAACTCCAGGTATTTTACATGCAGTAGCCTCATAACAATCGCTTAATCTGAGGCAAGTCGATGCAGGTGCGGCGTCTGCTAAACTCAAGCACGATAACAGAGATGACCGGATGAATTATAACGTTTGCTGGATCTCTGTTTGTTTTCTCTTGCCTGCGTTCATTTTGTCTTGTCTTTGTTTTTGCTTTGTTTTTTTGCCTTTCGCTACAGTTCCAGAGGTGAAAGTGTCGGAGCAGACGCCATCAGACGAGCTGGCGAGAAAGATGAGAAATTACAGCGGGCGAAGTGAGTGCATGCGCGGGGGTGGTGTGTGTGGGGATTTCCCATGAGTCTGTCTTCTTTTGGTTTCGTGTGGAATTAAGATACTCGGGAGTAAATAAAGTAATTCTGCTTGACTTTGGCAGTCCATCCTGGGCATTTGGGTGTAATAACCAGCCTGCTCTGTGTGTGTGTGCTGTAGCTGTAGCTGTGCAGCTGTAGGCGTTTTCTCACCTCCTCCTCCTCCACCTTTCAGTCACATCCCACTCTCCTAGCAGTGAAAGCACCGCATTCCTGCCCTTTTTCCATTCCCTGCATATTCTTTTACCTAACACCTACCTATCTGCCTGCCCTCCAGCTCCATGGTAATGCTACACCACCCGCTAGATGAGCAGATCAAGTCACATTAAATATATGTCACATAATGTTCCCAGATCTGCTAAGTAATTTCACCAACTTGGGTTACAGATGGATTACGTAAACTAGGCTCCTCTTTTCTCTCTCTCTCTCTCTTGTTGTTCGGTGAAGAGGTTGGTAAAAGGACGGGTGTCCTGTTACATGTCTGTGAATGAGGGTACGCCACACCGTGTTTTCACAACTTTAACTCTGTGTTCGGGGAACGTGTCCGGGTCCTGGGTTTGTCCAGGTTTTTTTCGCTTAAGGATAAATGAAATTAGAGCTATGCTTTTTAACCTCACTGCATTAAACAATCCTTCCTTTTTCCCCTTTTTGTCTTTTTGCAGCATATTCCTCCAGCACTACTACGGCCTACTCGGCGTACCACCACGACGCTGAAACCTACTCCTCAGGCGCTCCTCTGATTCTCTAAAAGTCAAACAAAAACAATGAGATGTAGCCAGTTACATGGGCTATTTCATCCTCCTGTTGTTACCAAGTTGAGCACCTTTTACCCCGGGTGGTTGTACTTCTGCCTTTAAGTGGTCCAGCTACTACCTGCTGTTTTCAAGCATCTTTATGTTTCAAGCAAAAGGCCCACTGAGGAGACTCTCCCCCCCCATCTCCCCCCCCCCCCCCCCCCCCCACACACACACACACACGTTAGGAGATGTAGGTTTTTATGTATTTTCTCTGTGCAGTGTTTAAAGATGAAAAAAGTGATTCCACTCAACAGGATGCCATAGGAAAGAGGCAGACGTTTGAACAGAGCCGTCCTCGTTCTTGTTTTTATCTTCATTTTTTTTGCTAGCTGTTGTGCATGTGCCGTATGTGTGTATGAGCTTGTCGACCTCCTGCCATTTCCCCAGAACCCTAAGACACGAGTTTTTTTTTTACCTGAAATCTGTACTAGCCATATTTTGTAAATACCCTTCTGTCGATGTTACTTTGTGGTTTTTTAAAACCATATGTGGTGTTTGTCCACATTTTTTTTTTTATATTGTTAGCTACTAAGTCATATTTTTAACAAAATAATAAAAAAAAACAACAACTTCTATTCCTCTTTATGCTTGTGTTTATTCAAAAGTCTAAATCTGGAAGTCTTTCTCTCTCTGTATATAAAGCAGCTCCATTTGTTTGGCAGCAAATGATTTTGCTCATGTATATCAACAAGTCTTTACCATCACGAGCTTCTCTGGCACTCTCTCTTCAGCCAATTTTTTTCCTCTTTATCTCTGGGATTATTGTTGTCAGGCTCATCTCCCCGAGGTCACTGTGTTACAGCAGGCAGGCTTTTTCCGCCCTCAGCAAAAGAAGGAACTCGTTTGGCTGGTTCTTACAGAAAGGAAATAAAATCCACGGCTTTGTCTTTGTCATTTATGGCAAAGGCGAAGGAACAGTGCAGAAAGTCAGCCTAATTTTCTTGAAGCGGTTCAAATTTGGGTTAAACAGATGAAGCTGCATCTGTCAATAATCATTATCTTTTGTTTATTTTAGGAGCCTGTACAGTTGTTTCCAGCTGTGACTTACTGCTTTAAAACGAGGGGCGGGGGGTTAAACCGGTAGCCAAAATTGCACCGAGAAAACGCACAAACAAAGTTACTGAAACTATTTTGTTTTTATTCAAAACCCAGTAAAATCTTGCATGAAGACAATTACACTTCTTAACTATCTGTTCTTCAGCGCCACACGCACAGCTTTTTTGTTTTAGGCAAGTTGTTTCTGTGTGTGTTGCATTTGGCCTGTGTAACCCCATTTCCTCTGGCTCACTCCCCCACCAGCACATTCCTGTTTTACCTGTATGTAGGTGTCATGTAAAGGCTCACAGTTTCACAACTAACATACCACAGGACAAGACCAATCGTGAGCTTGCTCCATAAGTGATGCAGCCTGCAGATTTCCAAGAACCAGTCAAGAGTTTCCCGTCGCAGCTGATTTAGCCTTTTAAGTTTTTTCTCGGCTGCTTTCAGGTGCTGAACCTTTAAAATCACTCCGAGTGAGGCTTTTGCACTCATAAGGGTTTGCAAACCCTATAAAGTTCAGGCTCAATTTTTATGATTCTCTCTGTTGGGAAAATGTGTGACTTCCACAGTTTTCCATGAGAGGGGGACAGAGAACCATTAGAGAAAAAAGAAAGCATTACGTAGACTGCGTATAAAACTGTGCTGCCACATTTAAACATAGTGTCTCCATCCTCAGGTCAAGATACATAACTAATAATAACATGGATATATTTATGACCCCTGATAAATCCTTTCTAAGCTGTCATTCCCCCACCTATTCTATAATGAATAAATAAATAACTGTGTTATATCCCCTAAAAGCTCTTTTTTTGATTTCCTCCCACCAATAGAATCATTTTCATGCTCTCCAGAGATTCATGCAGCAATCTAAACTCAGTGATTTTGGTCCACACTGACATAATAAGATCACATAGTTGCTGCACATTTGTCAGCTGCACATTCACGATGGAAATCTCCCATTCCACCACATCTCAAAGATGCTCAATATGATTGAGATCTGGTGACTATGGAGGGGATTTGACTGCGGTGAACTCATTTTCATGTTAAAGAAAGCCGTTTGAAATAATGTGAGCTTTGTCACATGGTGTGTTAACCTGCTGGAAGCAGCCGACAGAAGACGGGCACACTGTGGTCAAAAAGGGATGGCTGCGCTCAGCAACAACGGGTAAGCTGTGGTTTTCTAAACGATGCTCACTGGTATGGGTCCAAAGTATGCCAAGAGAGTATTCTCCAGACCATCACACCACCAGCAGCCTCAGCTCAAAGCTGAATGTCGTTTCTGACATTACCACCTGATTATTGGAGCAAAAATTAAAACCCATCAGACCAGACAACATTTTCCAGTTTTCTATTGTCCAGCTTTGGCGTAGCTTTATTTTCCTGTTCTTAGCAGACAGAAGTGGCACTCAGTGTGGTCTTTCTGCATCTTCTTCTTCTGCTGCTTTTAGTGCTGTCAGAAAAGCTCTTCTGCACAGCTTGGCTGTAATAACTGATTATTTGACTTGCTGTTGCCTTCCTGTCAGATCGAAGGTCATTCTCCTCTGACCTTTGTTATCAACGGGACATTTTCACACAGAGAACTGAGATATTCTTTGTAAATGCTTTTTTTCTTCTATTTTTTGGCTTCGTTAAGATCTTCATTTGTTAAAGCAGTGTAAAATTCTTTATTCCTATTATTTTAATATGTTCAGATACTATTTGTTTTTCTGTAATACAGTTATCTAAACCTATTTTCAAGAAAGTTTACTAGCTGTTAATTTATTTAAAATCAATAAGCACTCATGTTAAATGTAACATGTAAAACATTTCCTGACATTTTAATGCAGAGGTTATTTAGGTAAAAATGACCTTCTGCTCTGCCACCTGAGCTACAGCCACCCCATCACCCCAAAATCATCCTTTTACTCCCATTTTCAAGGTATTTGCTTTTTAAGAGCTCTGGCAACAACAAGAATTTAATGTGTCATGTTGTCCTGCACATATCACTGATGGGCCTGCCAATGGAGTGCAGGGGTCAAATGTTCAAACCAGACTGTTAGTACCAGATGTTCCAGCTGGTACATATATTACAAACTTCCCTTTTCAGGTGACGACACACAATTTCACTCTTCATTTGTGTAAAAAAATAGATTTATTTGAAAAGTTTTGTAAATGCAAACAATAATTATTTACAACAGAGAGCTCCCGTCATGAGATCACGCAAATACATGGACAGTAGGTACTCTGTCCTAATGTAGAAAGTCAAATCCAGTTCAGTTGGACGAAATCTTGTCAGACTGGGCTTCAGTGACCTCGGCATCATTTTCAGTGTAAGCAGTTCATAACCCCATCTTCAACAATTCACAGTTTTTGTTTTCTTTGAGTTTTGTTTAATAGTAAATGTGTTTTAGAGCAACCCACCATCAGGCAATCCTTCATTTCACAAAGACGGAAAAGCTCTAAAATCCACTGCTCCTATCTGCAGAAGAGCATGTCCACCAGCAGCTCCAGCAGGTTCGCCTGTCCTATCACAGGCCGGAAGAAGAGTTCAGTGATGAGGCTGGGGGTGATACTCTGCAACACGGAGGCTGTGAGGAGGATTTGAGCAAAGCGGTCCCCGTCCCCTGGGTGGAGGAGCTGAACCACCTTGCTTAAGGCCTGCTGAGCTTCCTGTTGCAAGCCTTCCACAAACAGGGCTGCCTTCAAATCTGGTACGTCTGTCGGTGGAAAAACAAAACTGTAAAGTTACATGAATGCTTAATATTGCACACCATTATTAAACCACTGAAAACTGACCGGAGAAAGCTGAAGCTGAACACTTCGAATACATACCTGGATTAAATATCGTGGTCCCTTTGAGGTATGCGTACTCCTTGGGGCTCAAATCCAAACTCCAAAACTTTTTGAGGCAAGACACGAGTTTGCTGACACCGGCCATAGTGGGCTGCTCCCTTTCCACCTCAGGGTTCTCAGGTCTGTTCAGGAGGATCTTTTTCAGCATGCTATCAGTGGGGATGTCCATCACCTCAAAGTCCACGTGCTCTTGGGCCAGACCCAGAATGAAGAGTGGCGCCCAGGAGCTTTTCAGAAGGGCGAACTGGTCGTTTGGAGGCAGCTGGTTAAAGGCGGGCAAGTTTTTCATGAAATTTAGGGTTTTTACCAGAACCGCCGAAGCTTCTTTGCAAATCTCCGACGGCCTTTTCAAGCACACTGTCCGTCGCGCCTCACATTTGCATCTGTGACGCACTGAATTGTAGCTGAAGTTGCCTTGGCTTGGTCTGCTGCCATCCATTTGGCTCAGGATGTTGTACAGGATAGGATTTGAAGTCCTATCACTGCTGGTTGAACAACAACACGCGCTGTCCATTTTAACCGAGTCACAGATTGTGTGGGCAGTTAAATGAATCCTCTCGCAGGATGGCCTCTTCACGCGCTTGTGAGCACAGCTGCTGCTGCTGCTTGGAGTCTCCCTCTATTTATAAGGCCAGCCCAACCTGCTTTAGTGGACTTTGACTTGTCAATACGTTCCATATGAAAAACAACTGTGTGTTCTGCCAGGTGACTGGAACAACCCTGGGAAACTGATAAGCTTTTCTCAATGAAAAGGAGCTGCTGAAGTAAAGTCTGGCTATCAAGAGGGCTGGGTCTTATCTTGTAACCGGTGTCATTAACCCAGGCAGTACCAAGCTACCAAGGACTGCAAAAGTAATCAGCCCCACAGTGAGCCCCTGCTTGCTGCTAGCTCACACCTGTAATACTGGAAACAGGCCAAAGTAGACTTGGGTCACTGACCTGTGAGATAACTTCAAATAAAGTGTTTCAATTTTTTTTTTCCCAAATAAAAGAGTAAAATCCCAGAAGACAGCTGGAATTTTAAAACTCTAATTTAGTGGAAACTGGTTGTAAACAGCCACCTTGGTGTTATTGTCTTTACCTGACAATGTAAAACACCCTGAGGCGACTGTTGCTGCGATCTGGCACTATATAAATAAAACCGAATTATTTGGCAAGGAATCTTGACTTTTAAACAAGCTGAGTTATTACTATTTATATTGTGATTTTAACCAGAGGAAGCTTTATATAAGAGAAGTGTAATTCAGCCTCCTCCAGCTCACAAGGGTTGAAAGG